CGGCCCAGCCTGGCAGAGCTCCACGATGAGCTGGAAAAGGTGAGCTCGCCCAGACCCTCCTCCCTTCCCATGCCCTGGTGCGTGCTGGCCTCAGGATGCAGCCGCCGACTCTCCCTGGTGAGGTGGCAGCCCGGGACCCGAGGAGCAACTGGCTGGGGTCTCTGGATTCAGCTGTCAAGTGTGGAATTGCAGCGGAATGTAACTTAATCCTTCAAAAGTTTGCAGCGGGTTAGGCTGGTTACGCGATACAGCGGAGGCAGCACTTAGCAGCCTTTCCCGTCCAGTTATGTCTCTTGTGTGTGCTGTCTTTTTTCATCGTCTTGACAATGTGTGTCACCTCTCTTGAGTTACACATGTGTTTAGAGCCCAGAGAAGGGAGTGTGGAGGAGGTTTGGAAGAGGCTCCCTCTTGGGACAGGTTGGAGAGAACCTGCTACCATCTGGGTCCTTTTAAGATTGTAGTGTATGGCTTCTGTACATCCATTAGGGATCCTGAGTGGAAAGGTTGACGTTTGAAGGAAAATCTTAATAGCATGTGTTTGTACTCTATTAATTATTAAAGCCCAATTTTTTGCAATCTTGAATTTGGAGAGGACTATAGAAATCTTTTTTCTTTTCTTTCCTTCCTTCCTTTCTTTATATTTTTTGTTTTTATTTACTATTTTTAGACAAGGTTTCTCTGTGTAGCCCTGGCTGTTTTAGAACTTATTATGTAGCCCAGGCTGGCCTTGAACTCAGAGATTCACTTGCTTCTGTTTCCCAGCGCTAGGATTAAAGAAATGTTTGACACCACACCTGGAGACTATAGAAATCTCAAATCTTGGGGAAATAGCATGATCCTTTTTGTTTGTTTGTAATGTAAATTTTTTGGAAAGAGGCTGTATCGGTGCAGGGCAGTGGTTAAGAGATGGCTCAGAAGTTAAAGAGCACTTGTTGCTTTTGCAGAGAGCCAGGAGGGTTCAGTTTTCAGCTCCCGCAGGGAGCTCACAACCATCTGTAGCTCCACTTCCAGGGAGGGGTGTATGCCCTTCTGATTTTGATAGGTACCAAGCATGCATGTGATGTTCATCCACACAAGCAGGCAAAATATTCATACACATAAAATATGTAATAGAGGGCTGTATCTTAAAAAATTACACGGTTGAGTCTTTAAAGAAGCAAAAGGAAACACAAGGATTTCATTTTTCCCCCCTTGAGGATGTCCAGAGAAATAGTCTGGGGTCTTTTTATGCAAGCCCTTTTACTTTGTAAGAAAACCATTCCTATCCCCATACACTCTTATTGACTTTTCCTTCTGTTTTTTTTTTTTTTTCTTAATGGCCTCATAAGACTTTTATTTCCTTGGGGTTCAGATAATTATATGACGATAACATTGATGCTTTTGAGATCTGATTAATATTTAACCTTTTTATGAGTTGAATTACTTGACATCTGCCTCAGCAAGTCTATAATGGAATTTTGTGACTTCAGAGTTGGTACCACACAGGGCGAGATGATCAATGTGAAAAAGTTTGTGATTTACTTTGACTGTGATGGTTTGATTTCACACATTCATGTCTTACGAGACTGTACTTGTTCCAGTGTTTGAGAAAGTAACAGTCACCACTTGAAGTGCGTGTGCAGGTCCCAACCCTTACAAGCTTTATGGATTGTTTAAAAGATTGACATCATTTAGACTTAGATAATACTGCTTCTGTTCTATTGTTGTAATTTGTCATATCAGAAGCCAAACACTTTCTGAAACATTTATTCACACTTAGTTTTTTTAATGGCCATTCTTTTTTCCTTATAGGCTCAAGCAGAAATGGAGTTGGGAAATAGTATGTTATTGGAGCATTTTGAGTATAAAAATTTTTATACAAACACATTTCAGATTAATTTCAGTAAAGCCAAATTTAGCATTATACCTGTAAGTTGTAGAATTTAAGTTGAAAGGTGTTTTGTGTCTTTTGAATGTTTTTTTTTGCTGTTCTACTTTTGGCAGTAATATAATAGTGCACTTAAAGTCCTCTAAAGCTGAGTTTATTTTGTGTGTGGCTTGTGGCTTGAGTCCTGGTGTTTTGTTCATTTTAGAGTATCTAAAAATAGACACATATCATTTACGAGATAGTTGAAAAAGTCACCTAATCCCTCAACTGTAGCTTCCTCAGTTTTCGAGATTATTATAAAGATTAAAGAAAAAACGTAACAGAAATAATGGGCTGTGGCCATGCCAATTTGGTGGAATATCATTGCTAATGTGGTTCTTATTTTTCTCTTACATTGACTCCATCCTCAAAGTACAAGCCTAAACTTCAATCTTAGATTCTCTTAATTACATCATTAGATGGATATAGTTTATAAAATGCTCAATTCAAAGGCTAATTGTACATTGAATAGCATAATGAATTCTTCGTTTTTTTTTTCTTCTTTTTTTTTTTTTTTCTTGGCTTCCATAGCAAATGCTAGACAGGTGCTACTCCATTGAGGTGGACCCTCATCCTCTACTTGGATTCTGTATAGCAACCAGAAGTTGTTGATGGTGTTAACTAATAAGCAAATATCGAAGATAATTGCAGCAGGTGGGTTAAATACCTGCCGTGCTAAATAGTGCAGAAACTGTTCACTGTTGTGGGAGATGTTGGCAAATGTGACCCAAGACAGTGATATCTGACTGGATCTCCCAAAAGTTGTTCCTCATCTCTATAGATTGACAGGAACTTGAATGCTCTTAGCCCCTATTTAATACTGATATCTGGAATTTCTTTGACATTCTAGTATTTGATTGTCATGTACTGTACTCTGGTGGCTGAGTACTACACTGTCCATGACGTGTCTAAGGCAGGTCTAAGTAACAGGTGGGAAGAACTATGGAAGATCAGGGGAAGTAAAAGTTAACACTCTACAAACATATTAGGAGAAAGGACCTTTTAACACTATTTCCACTAATATCCAATTGCAGGGGAATAAATAAATATCCATGCTTTGTTGTGAGCCATTCTAGGAAGAAAGCTGATGGCTCTCCAGTTAGATACTGTTGACTGGGTAAGGGGTGATTGTGGTGAGTAGCAAGTCAGGCAATATGTCTGCTTAGAAAGACATAAAACAAGTAATAGTTATTATTAATATAACAAAGAATAGTTTTTTTCCAGTGCAACGAAAGGAAACATCACCAATCAGGATATAATGGAACCCAATTTTCAGTGGGCTTTGGGAAGAAATAAATATGGCATTGAGGCTGAGACCTAAAGGATAAGTTGGGATGGGTGGAATAACACTCCAGAACAAAGACTGTATTTTTAAAGGTAGTGAGGAGAAAAGTTATGTTCATGCAACAAACATAAAAGGCCAGTATATTTTATTGTAAATGTAGTGGGAAGCTGTTGAAGGGTTCTGTGCGACAGAGTATATGACCTATTTTATTTGAACATCTTTGCTGGCCAGAGAATGTGTTCTAAGGTGTGACTGGAAACAAAATAAACCATCCTGAGTGAGGTGAACTGTTGTTCCAACTTAGAGATTATAAGGATTTGTGCATAACAGATCAGATGTGAGAGAGGCTGACTCCCAGGGTTTGACTTCAGTAATTGAATAGTGGGGTTCTGCTCCCTGACTTGGGAAAGATTGAAAGTAGAATGGATTTGGAGTGATGAATAGAATTCTAGTTGTATTTGTTTGTAAGGGTACCTTATTCT